GCTGGTTTTGCTTAAAGGAGCCGGGAGATCAACACTCGACTAATAAGCCCGTGATTTTGTAAACTGAGTAGCTGATGCTTCTGTAAAAACCTGGCTTAGCCCATTCCTGTTTATCCATATATCTTCAGGAGCGATCAGATTGTAGCATTTTCACATCAGGGTTTTCGCTATGCCGACAGTGCTTGTGTCAGGTCAGTCGGAGCTCCTCTCCACGGTGATGCGCACGCTGCTGCGTGCTCTCGCTGACAAAGCAGGCTGCTGGGGACCGGTGCGTTTCATTCTGGGCTGAAGAGGATCCCCACACCGGTACCAGGGCTCTGTGGAAAAGCAGTGCTGGCACAATGCATGCTACGTGCAGCGTGTCAGGTGCTTATATGCAAGGAGCTCTGAGGCACAGTGTATGAGGGACAATGTCTCAGAAAGTGTTCCTTCAAGGCAGAAAATATATGAAGAAGAGTTGTTTTTTTTTCCCAAAGACTAGAAACTTAAGAACATCACAGGAAAAGAAGTGATGCTTTAGGAGTAGGATGTCTAATACAAGCCCTAGTGATTTGCTTTACAGTCTCTTTTCAGGTTTTCCAGAAGATGAGGGTATATCTGCAGGGAGATGTTTGAATGTGAAAATGAGGCTTGGGAATATCTATTTGTCCGTACTCTCTTCTTTTGTTAATGAAGCATTTGCTTAGATACTCAAACGTTTCTCAGCTCCTTTTTTAAAAAGTTATTTGGAAGTATCTTTCTTAAACATACATGCTTGAATCTTGAAGAATGAAGCTTTTCCTTTTAATCTAGAGATTACTCCTACGTATGTTGATTTACCATTGCTGTTATTTGTAGGGTAAACTGTGAAAAGCCCAGGACAACCGATCTTCAGCTGCCCTGATGCTATCATCTGGGGTGGAATCTCTCCTTGACTCTTCTGCGTCTGCTGTAGTACAGGGATTGTACACTGGACTGCCAGAGAGCATCTCCACTGAACTTATGGCTGTATCAGAGCCTAATGTTGGATTAGATGCAAAATCTGATGTATCAACGCCTGTGCTAGCACACAGTGACAGTCTGTCAGCTGACCGTCATAGGACTTCTGGAGTAGACGACTTTTGCCAGAAGACACAGGATTTGGGTGATATGCTAAAGGTAATTTCTCATGGGCCAGCAGAATCCCTTACTGAAGAATTACTGAAGGCTGGAGACCTCGAAGAGGATGGAAAAAATGAAAAAAGAAACTTGAGGAAACTAGACTGTTCTAGTGATGGATACCAGAAAGAAGACAAAGAGGCACAAGACGCTCAGAAGTATGCTGAATGCTGTGCTTTAACTCCTGGGGAAAGTTGGTCAAAACAAGTAAGTAAATGCAAAAATTCATCCCTGTGTGATATTTTGAATTTAGGGTTAGAGTGACTAGGCAGAGGACTTTGTTCATGTGGTTTCCTGTTTCTTATTTGTGTCTTCTGGCATGTGTGTCATTATTTGGATTATCATGGGTCCAGTGACAAATTAGACTATGCTTCAGTAGACCAACAGTATTTTAAAGTATCAAGCTTTTCACTTTCTTGAATACTGTTGGAATGGTATGAGGCAGGTATGCAACAGAATGAAGAACAAAACTGACCGGTGACTAAAAAGGAGGAAGGAAACAACTTAAAAAGCTCTTTGCCCAGTATCCATGTTTTGTGGGTACAGCATATTCTACCGGTACCGTCATCCCCAGTCAAGGTACTAACCATTAAATAATAGTTATTTCAGTCTGGTAATACTATTATAATGCTACAGGGGGCTCCAGTTTAGTATTCCAGTTTTTAATCTAAAAATAAAGATTATTATTCATTTTTATAATTATTGTTTGTAATTAGAGAGGAAATCACTGTTAGTTTCCCCTTTCAAAACAAGAGACTCGCATGGTCATGGCTTTTTTTTTTCCCCCTACTCTCTAGCAAACACTGATGATAAAAGTGTTCTTTCTAGTCAAAGGCTTGCTGAAAAACATGACAAAGAATACTCTATTAAAAACTGAAGCGTCACAAAACTCTCTATTTAAAAATTAAGATTTTTAGTGACTTTCTTGATCAGTTTTCTTTAGTTTTTAAATAGTTTCTCACACACCAGAAGAACATAGGGGAGGAAAAAAGTATTGTGACTGAACACATACCAGCCAGGAAATATCTGGATAAAGTGCATATGTGCGTGTTTTACACTAATTATTGGATGTTGCATAATACTAAAATACTTTGTGGTTTTAACTCTGGATTTTGATATCTGTTTGGTTTATTTGAAAGTTTGTGAAAATAAAGTTAATTAAATTTTCCATAGTCATTCAGTTTTCCAACTTTCACATATTTCAAATATGCAGGTAGTTTGGTTGTGGGGTTGTGTTTTGGTTTGGCTTGGGATTTTTTTGCGAGTAGACCTAGGTTGTTTGTTCCTGGGTTTATGTGGTTTTGAGCCAAGGGAAGGAGTAGTAGAAGGCAAGTTTTAATAAAGACCAGAAAAAGCATGCATCTTACCAGAGGTATACAGTAATGGTTTGGGGATGTGAGATAGACTTGGAGACTGGATTACTTTTCTGATTCAAATTTGCAACAATTTGCATTTTAAGCCACTTACATTTTAGCTGCTTGCATCGCAAGACTTCATTGCTGCTAAATACAAATGTTTTCTGGATGCATCATTGTTTAATGGTGAGATGATAATGATTGATAGGATCACAAAGGAATGATCAGAAAGTGCTTGTGTGAACCACTTGCAATGCAAGGCTGCCTCTGTGCAAGGGCTGATGTGTTCTGTGGTTTCTTGGTGGTTTTCTTATTCAGAACTAACCTAGTTGAGCAGGTACAGTCCCTGAAACTTGCTAAACATTTCAGAAAAATCGATCAATCTCCATTGATATTTCTGTCTTGTGTCAGGAGGACCCTCACTTAAACCAGCATGACATGAAGTCTTCGAGAAGCTGTTGCACTGAAATAGTGGGATCTCCAAAGAATACAGGTGCGTATTTTAGTTGTACATCCCTATCTATCCCCTGCTTCTCTCCCGGGTTACTTTTTGTTGGTTTAAAATTGATGAGTGAGTGTGGGATAGCTCATTTATTTTGCTTTACAGTAGAAACTATTACCTTGCTTAGCTAGAACAATATGCAAACTTAATCCTCTGCTTTTTCCTGACAGCATATGTACTTTCCTGAAGACCTTTTATGTACAAGACATGTTTTAGTTATTTAATTCAAATACTTATTTACCCCAAAGCAGAAGGTGTTGTTAATAGCAGATGTTCTGCATTTCCTTTTGTTTCAAAGCTGGATTATATGAGAGCAGTAATAGCAAAGATGTGAAAAAGTATGACTCATTCATTTTCTAATGTTTGAAAAAATAAAAAGTGCAGAATTCAAAGGAAGAGGATAACAAAACTGATTTTTAATTTCATTATGATCTGTAATCTTCTAGCTCCAAATACTTTGGTCACTTTGCCTGCATCTAGTAATTATTTTCTTTCTCCCTCCATGCTCTCATAACCAAAACTTGTACTTAGTTGAAAAATGGGATCTAGTCTTGGTCCTTAGTAGAAAATATGAAAAAGATCTGCAGAAGTCTGAGTGAATATGTTCCCTGTAAAGTTTTGAATATGAAGATATTCTACAGTAACTGTAATTTTTTGAATTAGCAGCTTCTTCGTGATTTTACAAAAAAGTTTATTAATAGTCATAATTGCTTGGACAGAATGAGATATGCATTGTCTTCCTATGGATGACTTACCAACAAAAATGTCTTCAAGGAAGAAGAAATGGAAATGGCCGCCTGATGCGCAGCCCTGTTTCTAGGATAGAGCAGATAAAGTACCCACCTATGTGGAGCTTTGATATTACAAATAAGCATTATGATGTTGGCCATGACTTTGTATGTATTGAGTTATAGGCCCTGCATTGCATCTAGCTCGGTATTAGAGGAATCTGAAAAATACAGGTCTTTGGATGCCTGCTGCTCATGGGGAATGTCTGTATTGAGAAGGATTGCATTTGTTACATTAGGTTTGTGGTGGGCTAGTTTGTTTGTTTTTTCTTCTACAGGCTTGTAGTAGAATTGCTAGCATCAGTTCTCACTTTTAAAAACATTTTGGTAACCAACACTGTACACAATATTGTGTGCAATACTAAAAGGAACTTTGTAAGCTGAATGCCTTCTAAATTCAGTATATGGTTCTGACTTGCTTTATTTTTTCCTATGCAGAAGAAAACCAAGCAAATGTTCAGGTGACAGCTGAAACTCTGCCAAAGCTTACTGAAGAAGTACAAGGTATGAAGGCTGATGGGACTAGGCTATTTAGTAAAGCAGGATACAAGAATGACAGAGTGAGTAAAGGTCTTCCACCTGAGAGCAATGAATGCCCAGACATAGACACAGTCGTGGCCAGAGCTGGGGTTTCAGAAACCAGCATGTTAGGTTTTTTAGAGCCTTTGAAAGTCACGGATGTTGGATCAGCCACAGAGCATCCGCAAGAAACAAATGAATATAATGGATTGAAAGCCCATACTGCCATGCCATTGAGAACAGAGGGTAGTGTTGTATCTATTTTGGAGACCAGAGAAGAAAAGTTACCCAGACAAAATCCTGTTAATGAATTCAGTACATCACTTGCTAATTGCCAGACTTATCAACAGGATGAAGAAAACAATGCTCGTGACTTCTGTACTGGTCCTGTACCTAAACATAATGAACCTCATAGGTTGTCATCAGTAGAAAGTTGTAGAACACTCTCCACAAAAAGTTCTGAAGTTTTGTGTTCGGTTCTGAAAAGCATCTGTTATCTGGACTTCAGAAATATGCCACTAGAAAACAATAGTACTGCAGTCCATGGACTTATCAATGAAACCCCCCAAAAGTATCTTCCTGAAAACATTGGAAGTCAGACTCATGATGATCATGGAACTGGGTTTGTAGAAAATCAAACCTCCACATCCGTACCAATAGAGCAGGTCTCAGTGGTCAGGAGTGAAGGATTATCTAGTGCTAAAATTGATCATAGGGAAGTAAGTGCTAGTATAGGTAAATCATACAGCTCTGAATTTGAGGAGGCTGCTGAAGTCCGGAGAAAAATTGCTGTGGGAGATAACGTTGACGTTGGTAGCTGGCCTGAAGCTCAAGAGGGTGCTAATTCTGAGCATTGTCATTCTTCAGTTTTTAGTTCTGTTGCTTCTTCTCCTGAGGAGTTCTCAAAAGAAAAATTTAAAATGGTCCCATCAGAAGGTGATAAGTTGAAAGAGGACCAATGGCAATTCTCTGTCAGTGATCTATGCAAGGATGATATAAAAGAAAATAGTCTATTGATCGAAATGAGCAACATTGCTTCCCATGAAACTGGACAGACAGACATATGCTTTTATAATACCTCCAGTAAAATTTCTCCTCCCAGTAGCCACAGCTGTCTGGATCTTAGTACCAAGCTGGAAAAAGATTCACCTGAGGCACAACTGCTTGAAAAGGAATCTGAGAGTCATGCAACATCAGAGGAGTTGGCTGGCAGTTTAGTTGAAGCTACAGAAGCTAACAGTTTGTCCACTGGCAAAGAAACTGATTTGATTTATACACTAAATGTACCTCTACCTCCTGTTGCACAAAAATCAAGAGAACCTCATCGTAATGAGTGTCCTCCTTGTACCGCTAATGAAGTTTCAAGCAGGGACAAGGCTCAGGATAATCTATCTGGAAAAGAATCAATTGGTGCTTCTGGAACAACAAGGGAACAAGTTGCTGAAATTGTGCTTCATAAAGACAAATTCAAGTCTTCAGTAAGTTCCAGGATGCTTGATAACCCTAATATGACAAGCAAAATTTCCCAAAAGAGCATGAAGTCTTCAGTGGGAAATATAGAGAGTGTGGTCACTGGTTTAGAAAATGAAGATAGTGACACATGGAATTGTAATAATCAGAGTATAAAAGACCAGTGTACTTCCTGTATTTTATCAGGGAGTACACGTGTAGATGATGTTCTCCCGAACAGTCATTCTTTTAATGTTGAGGTTGATAACAGGATTGAAGAAAATTATAATTTGGAAGGAGAAGCTTCAGCTGGATATAATAGTAAAAAGGCAATCATATTTCCAGAAGCACACTTCCCTTTGGCATGTGGATCTCTTCCTTGTGAAGATGACTGGGACAACAGAGGTGTAGATCTGCTCGGGATAAATGATATTTCCACAGCAAAAACCATGTTTTGCTCAGCTTATACTGCAGAGAAGTCTATTGCTACCTTGGTAGGAGATGAGATTTCAAATAAGAATATGGAGGTTGTGAAACAATTTGATCTTTGTAAAGTAACAGATGGCAGTGAAATTGTTTGTGACAGAGATGAGGCAAAAGAACAAATCGGCATGTGTGCTCTCCAGACAGATGAATCTGATAAAATAAGAACTGTGGATTCTCCAAAGGCTCCTGAAGGCAATCGGAAAAATAAGACTAGTGAACAGCTATTAGTCAGATATTTGAACAAAAAAACCTGTGTTCATAATTTTGGATTTTGCAGCTCCCCATTAGGCTCAAAGAAGAGAGAACTAGGCATATATGAGAAGAAAGAAGTGTCATCACTCACAGCTAATCCTTCTGAATATAGTGCTTCAATCTGTGATACATGTCCGTTACTCAGCAACATGAATATTAAAACACGACATGCTAGCCAAACAGAAAAGACCTTTCATCCAATGGAAGGTCAGTGTCTTGCATGTCAGAGTGAGCTTGATGGCCCAGTTCCAGGCAGCAAGCAACATTTAGAAAGTTTAACCAACCAACCAAACACTGGCTTACAGACTACGGCTACTTCTGTGCAAGAAACCAAAATATCCATTGGCTCTAGTCAAAGTGAAGAAATACTGTTAAAAACAGGTGACGACCTGCCTCTGTTAGTTCATAAATATGCACAAGAAGACAGTTTTCAAGGAACTCTAAAAGAGAACGTAGTGGATTTGGACTCTTTAAATGGTGTGAGAAATGAAGACTGCTCAGGATGCGTGGGCTTCATCAGTGATCTAATTGAGAAGACAATCAAACTAAAAGAACACGAGATCGGAGAAGATAAAGGAACTCTTGAAGAAAGCTTTTCTGATAGCAAATCACATTGCTCACAGCATGCTTGCTTTATCAAATGTGCAAAAGAGAGAGCAGAGCTAGTGTTTGCAGGAAAAAAAATGCAGCAATCTTTGCCAAAGATGAAGTGGTTGGTGGAGGGCCAGGAAAATGCAGTTAGTGCCCGATTTTTGCCCTTTTCGTCAATTCATGGGAGTCTGTCATATAAGCCAGAAAATATGAATGTGCTTTCAGAGACAGAAAACAAAAAAAGTCTGAGAATAAAATCTATCTTAAATAACTCTTACCCGCAGTTAACATTTGAGCCTGGTAAAGAAACTGATGCTCAAAAGGGTATTGGTCCATCCCATTTCAGAAAGTTTGACATCCAAGAATCTTTTAATGAGACTCAGGTGGATTCAGAAACACCGTCAGCTCTGAACTTGGGAATCTCTTTGCCTGAGAAAGAAAAGCTGTGTATGTCCTCTGAGAATACACAAATAGATAATCGTAATTTGTCTTCAGCCAAAATTTTTAGCAAAGATTCTTCAGAGACAAAACCTCTTTCTGTAACAATGTCTATTAAGAGAAAAGCCAGCAATACTGATATTCCATCTTCAGAGAATGAAACGGCAACTAGCTTTCTGAATGGTGCGAAAAGCTCAAGGGTTTGTGCACACAGCAAAGAAAGTCTGAGAGATGAGGGGCATAGCATGCTAACTGTAGAAGACATGGATGTGACCTCGCCAAAAAGTACTCACTGTGGAGAAAAGTTTAAGAATACATGTGTAGAAGAAAAGATGGGAAGAGAAGCAATCCCTAGAAAAAAGTTGCCCATAGATTCTTTTCTTGATGGAGAAGATTGTCTATGGGCCTTATTAGAAGATTCAAAAGAGTCTGGTAGCAAAATAGTCCTCAGTACTGAGAATTATGGAAAGGTTTTGGAAGAAATCCCAAGATCTAATCTAAATAATCTTTCAAAAGAAGGAAAAAATGCTACAAAGTTCACAAACTTAGGAGGTACCAGTCTACTTTCAGAAACTGTGCATGATTATCAAGCTGAAGATGCTTCACCAGAATTGCAGTATAATACAACACCCACATTTTATCCGTGTATGAGTAAACTATCGAACAGTTGCAAAGAATCATGCCCAAACTGTGTGGTTTGCAGTGAAGTATGTGTGCCTTACAAATTAAATGCACAGAGCAAAGATAATGTAAAGGAGATGACAGAAGGCCAGGACACTATACCAACTCATTCAGTTTGCAAGAAAAATGAGGCTTTAGGTTCAGAGAGACTTGATCAAATGGAGAAATGTCAGGTACTTAAACGAAAGAAGAAGTATGAGAAGATGGAAGTACATCTGTCAGTCAAGGCACAGGAAGAACAGAAGTCAGAATATGAAGAGAAAGCAAAAATCACACTGCAACCAAGTATGTTGCACAGTTCTGAACTCTTACGTAGCTCTCCAAATGAATTGGTGACATCAAGAAATACAAAGTTTGAAGGTCCTTCAGAGGAGATTTTTGCTGTCAGAAGCAGTGAAAATAAACTGTGTAGCACTTTACAAGAAGTCAAAAGGCCAAAGATTACCACAGATATTATTAGTTCACAGTTTTTGAAGACTCAGGATTCAGAAATGGAAAACCTGAACCTTAATTTAGGGTATGATGGAATCCCTGGTGCCTTTGGAACTACAAATAAACTAAGAGGACCTCTCCCATTAAAAAGACAGCCTGGAAGGACATGCAAAAAAGTTCCCACATCATATCATCTAAAAACCGTAAGAAAAGGCAAAAAAAAAAAAAGTTCACCTTTTTTTGAGATTCCCCCAGAAATATTCCCTAGGCAGGAAAACACACTTCTCAAATCTTCGTACTTACCATGTAAAGCACCGACAATGGAAACAGAAACAGCCGTGAGATTCGTGCATATGCCAAGGCAGAGGGCCAAGAGGTGCAGTTTGTTGAACAGCTTGAAATTTAGAAAAAGTACCAAAGAACCAGCATTGTTGAGCAAGCTGTCTGCAATGGCCAGCAAACTCCTGGCACCTGCCAAAAGCATCCATAACTCAGAAACTCTGCCATATTCTTCTGAAATTCTTCCAGTGGCTGAGAGCTACAGCCAACGTAGATCTAAAAATCTATTGGAAGTCTTTTCTTGCATTAACAGGAACTTACACTCACGCTGGGCTGACAGTTGGTGCACCAAGATGTTCAGCTTTCAGCCTTTGGCACTTTATCCTGTAGAATCTACCAAAATACTTTTTTCAGACTTGAGCCACAAGTCTCCAAGCTCTTTCTTGGATACCCCAGTTTTCCCAATTTCTCTTCACATAAAATTGGACTCCAGTCCTGTGACAGACTTCACAGGGATTACATTCCAGCACTCTGTACATCACAGACCAGTTTTGGGAGAAATGCCAGCACCGCCTTCAAAGTGGACTTTCTCTTTTCTCCTGTCTCAGAGCTGTTCAGATACAACAGCTCTCAAGGAAGATTCCAGTCTAGATAATGAGCTGCATTCCTCTCTCTCTGTAACAACCCCAAGGGCTGTTGCCCTTCATCCTGACCGTGGAAGAAATGCCATAGCTGAAAGAAGAGGAGGTTGCTCCATGCTTGGCCTTCACACAGTGTTAGCACTTTCTTCCCCTGGATGTTACAGGATTTGGACGAGAAGAAGAAACTTAACCAGTCATATTCCTACTGTCCAGAGACTATTTATATCACAATTCGCACAGGGTTTGAAAGGGGCAAGGTATCCAACTTCTGTATCAGATGACCTCGTTTCTTCATTGCCATACTCATTGGGCAGGGTACTATCCATATGGAGTCAGCATGGTCCTTCTGCCCGTCCCTCCGAAATCACTCCTCTCCATTCCAGTCACTGCAAGTGGCAGCCAAGTGTGGGCATCGAGAACAGGTAAAACCCATCAACTTATTTATGAGATTACATATGTATAGGATATGTACTTGCTCCTTTTTTGGGAGGGAGAGGGTAATTGCAGCTTGCATTGGAGGGTCAGTTTCCCCTGTTCAAATCAACACATTCTGCTCCAAAAATGGCTCAACATGAAGATTTTTCCCTATGGAACAGTCTCTTAGCTGAATTTAAATATATTTGCCTTCACTTCTTTAATACTATCCTGTTTTGGCAGAATGGCTAACTCTATTTTCTTCTCCCTTGCAAAATATACACACCATGCATCAGAATATATAATGCAGAAAGGTGAGCTACTTCATTAGGTCTATTCAGAGTGACTGCAGAACAACTGGATTTCTGAGGTAGGAAAGTTTTTTTCAGAGGTCTGAGCCACAAGTGCCACTTGGAACCACTGTAAAATGCTCAATATCAGATTAGGAAGAATCCTAAGGGGCGGGGGATGGCATTCACTTAAATTTTCAATTGTATTCCATGACTGTTCTATGCTGGTTGAAACCTCTTTATGTATGCTATGCCTTTTGATAGTATGTGCCTGATGTATTGTTGGCACAAGCAAGTGTAGCTCCAGTTCAGGTTGGTAATGAATTTTCGTGTGGGTCATTCTCCTTATGAGTGGGAAGAGGACTGAAATCTACTCTGCATGTTTAATTTAACTTTGCTATCAGCATTTAAGATCTTTTTACTAAGAAACAGAATGAGAGAAGAGGTTCCTAGCTCTTTTACAGGATTTTTGCATGCTCTTGAGCAAAGATTTTGCCCTTTATACTTCAGCGATGTGGGGCAGTTCAGTCCCTGATTTTATAGTCTTGAGATTCCTGGATAGAGTATAGGCTCATAAGTACTGTAGAAAAGTCGATTTGATTAATTCTTTTGTTTAATATGTCAGTCTCTAGAGAACTGTTGAATTTGGCTTATCTTATGTCATAGCTTGACATATGTATAACCAAAAATCTTGCTAGATAACTAATGCTGCATTTTGCTTTGTATAAACAGATAACATACCTAAAAGTTTAAATATATCACTTGTTAGTATAATTTCTAATGTCTACCAAAGGTGTGAGTGAGCTTATGAAAGTACTACTCCATTCTGGGAGTTGCCTGCACTAAAAGAATGAAGTTGAATAATGGCATAGAGACAACTTCGCAGCACATTCTATTGAACCTGCATTCTTTTTCATTCCATACGGGTCAATATATCAGGCTGAATTTTCTAGTGTACAAATTAGTGCTCTGGAAGTAATCATACCAGTAAACTACAGTTTGAGCACTAAACTTAAAAATAAGACACTGTTGCCATTCTTTAAAAACAAAAACAAACACCTTACTTTTAAAAACTTACTTCTGTGTGTGAGGCGAATTTATTATTTTGTATTGTTGAGGCATGTTGTTATCCTTGGACTGTGAGATCAGAGCTGACTTACGCTCTCGTGTTTTCTCCCATACTTAAATCTACAGACTTCTAGGCAGCTTGTTACAGCATATCCAGTTAGCTAAAGTATAAGAGGATTTAATTCCTTGACATAAAGGGTAACTTGAACACCCAATGTTTTGCTATGAATGATCTTTATCCCAAAGGGAGAGAAGCCAGGTCAAACCTTATCACTTCAAGAGAAAAATAACCCAAAGTTAAAAAAAACCCCTCAGTTTGTTTTTTCTCTAAAATATCTTACAAATATGTGTATAAGGTAGCCTTAATTCTTCTGCCCCGCTCAGATTTTCTTTGAAGTGCAGTTATTGTAGCATGCAATGAGTTGAAAAGAATGTTTGTAGAAGTTTAAAGAAGTGCAGCAAATAAATTCTATTCTTAAAACAGTTAAGCAAAAACTAATATTAAAGGTTTGGCTATAAAACAACGTAAAGAACAAAACCTAACATTTTAAATATTTAACACCATTTTAGATTCCATTTTGCTGAAGATTGATAGCTTGTTCTCATCAACTAATAATTCTTCTTTTTTTAAAGGTATTAACAGGAACAGTGACAAAAGGATAATGCAGTAAATCTCTCTTAAATTTGTGTGTACTCAAAAAAAAAATCTCCTATGAAATAAATTTTTGGTATATAAATACAAGAATACAAGAAGTATGTTTGGTGCAGTATAAAAGCATTTTCAGCTCCCAGTATGACAAAAATCTTTGCCTGTTTTGATTAAGAAAGTTAAAAAGCAGAAAAATTTAGAAGTCGAATTATGGTAATTACCAACCCTTATGGAAAGGCCTTTGGTTTTTCCAATCGATTAAGAATATTCAAGTAAGATTGTGGGAGTTACAGACAATAGGGAGTTAATCTTATGCAAATCCTTTCTTTCAGTTGTTACTGTTGCCACTATGCACTTTTTTTTATTTAGTAGCCAAATCCTTCAAGGTTTTGGGTTACTTTAATTTTAAAAACTGGGAGTTTTGAATGAGGAATATAGACTTTCATAGAAATAATTACACCTTTCAGACTAATACTGTCTCCCTCTCTTTCTGTACTTGTATTTCCTTTTCTCATCACTACCAATTTTAAGTGAAAGTAGGACTATTTCCCTAACAAGCTGTCAGTGAAATTTAGTGGACTAAATGGCAGATGTGGCTTGCTCTTGTATCGTTTTAGTCTTTTATTCTCATTCCTGATATTAGCATTTTTTGTCTTGCAGTCCAGTTTATACTAATAATTTTTCCCTCAGCTCTTTTATAGTGTAGACCTAATTTCTGTCTGTCTTTGGTTTTTTTTCATTCTTCTTTTGAACCAGCTATGCCACATTACTGCATTTACCTGTACAGAGTATGGAAGCACTACAGACTGCAAGTCATGAGATATGGTGAGTCTCTTGGACTTCGATATTTATTCTGAGTAGTGGGATCATAAGCTTTCTCAGAAAGACATTGCTTATGTCATTTTGGCTTTCAGCTTTTAGCAGTTCACTTCAAGAATAGCTTTCTGATTAAAATGTTAGTGAAGTAAACTGACTGGATCATGTAATGGATAAGTGGAAGGGCATTAATGCAAACACCATGCAGATCATTGCACAGAACAATTCTGTAACTTTCAACCATGTTGTGCCACTTATAATGAAATGAATATGTGAAACTACAGAAGTTTGTTTCCTTACTTGGATATATGTTCTTTCTGTCTGAGCAACTGGACATTAGGTGCTGAAACTTCCTTCTCTTCTTTTTCAGTGTTGGGATGGCAGATACAAAAACTATCTTTTAAATTTATCTGTAAACAAAAAGTAATAAATTAATAGTTGTGTCAAAGAAATTTGCTGGCAGAAAAGGAGGATTAATCACTTTCTGTCAGTAGTTACTAAATAGAGCTGCAACCTGTTTAACTATACAAAAAGGAAAAGAGTGGGTTTAAAATTAGATGTTCAAATACACTGGCAGTTTAGTTTGTTTCAGTATCAATGCAGGCTGCAGCAGTTTTTGGCTCTATGTATGTACCGGAGAAAGTGTTCACTTGGGCAATTTCTGTGAACTGCATTACTTTTTGTGCCTATATTGCAATTTAGGAACATCACCTGAGAGTGTGGAATGCTATTGTAGCATAAATTGAGTATTAACCTACGTATGTTCCCTTCTTCCTCTGTTACAGTCTGGAAACTTCATTCCCTCTTCCGTTACCAAAGTCTTGCTCACTTCCAGAATCATCGCCATCTCCCCCCAGGCTTTCAGTATCGGAGCTTCAGGTCCATGACCTTGATGAAGCTGATGCTTCTGTTCCAGCCTGTCTTAGATCCCCAAATGACACAGAACTGAAAAAAGTGAGTTAATTTTAGATTTCGGAGATCTCAGGCTCCTGGTTCCCCAGAACTTGAAGCTGCTGCTGCTGAATATTATCTAGTAACAGTTAAAGGTGAGGAGAGAAAACAGGCCGTTAGTCCTAGTCTGTGCTGCTTCTTTCTTTTGTTCAAGCAAAAAGAAGGTGGCAAAACAAAGAGGAATGTTTATTCTATAGATAATGTATACTGAACATAAAAGGGAATTCTGTTGACTTGCATGGTCATTATTTCCTTAATTTTAACTTTTTTTTCTTTCTTTTTTTTTTTTTTTTCCTTTCCTAAGACTGAGCCAGAAAAGAGGCCAAAGAAAGTCTCACAGATCCGAATCAGGAAAACTGTTCCTAAGCCGGACCCTAACCTTACTCCAATGGGACTACCCAAACCAAAAAGGTGAGCAGTATCTTTTAAATGGACTCATACTAGCTTCTGTTGCTTACATTTCCTGCATAATAATGTAATCATTTCAATAAATGCTTCTCTTACCACCACTATTTTGTACACTCCCAGTTGAGTGATATCTGATGTTTGCTTCCTTCATAAGAAAAGATTGACACAGCTGTATCAACTGTATAAAAGACTGAAGAAAGAAATTGGTCTTTGAACATAACTTTTTTCAAGTGAGAAAGGATAAATAAAGAACTATTGGATATGAACTACTGACTGGGTTTTAGGCAAAACTTGAAAAACTAAGCTGCAATGGCATGATTTTCTAAAGAAGAAAGAAGTTCATTTTGATAAACATACATTGAAAATGAGTCATTCTACAATGCATAGTGAGATGAAGTGATCCATTAGGAAAGGAAGTCTGTTGATGCAAATTATGTTGGAGTTCTTCACAGTCCCTTCTTTGTTTGTGGTATATGATCTTAGGGAAACATTAGTTCAGTGTAAATGTGGGTAACTTTTCCAATCAGTCATCTAGTATTTTGTTCACTTAAACAGCAGTGCCAGCTTTGACAAAGGAATGCATTTCTTCAGAGATCAGCTTGCTAATTAAGTGTCAATAACTAACTTTTAAAACCAGTCTCAAGACATGAAATGTTAATCTGCTAAACTGTAAGTTTTTTCTTAGCTTCCACAAAAAAGTGACCTATGAAGGGATTTCCCTTTCTTCTTTTGAAACATCATAGAATGTTGGAAGGAATGTTGACCTCTGCAGAAATGGCAAGTCTTGACCCAGACCTTATAAAAACACTGTATGAAATTAGGTACTTAACGACCTCATTTTTCATTCCTCCCTATCCCCAATTAGAATCTAAATCTATGTTTTAAGTTAAAGCATAATTAGTTAGCGTTTAAGCATAGAACGCAAACCAAATTTGTTTCTAGTAAATCTGCTTGTTGTGAAGAGAGGTAGTTTTGAAATTCTTCTTTCCTGATTTATTTGTTCATTACTTTTTCAGGCTTAAGAAGAAAGAATTTAGTTTAGAAGAAATTTACACAAACAAGAACTATAAGTCTCCTCCTCCAGCCAGGTTGGTTCTGCTTCCTAATGAGAAAACTAAGATAAATGTAAATTACTTAGGCAGAGAGAGAGAAGATTAAAGGTGTCTGAAAGCTAAGAGGGAGTTTAAAGTGGTAGAGAAAGTTAATTCAAAAATAGTATCTTTACTATTTGTATGGAAAGTAGTGAAATAGAGTATCAACTAAGAATTTGCAGCTGTTTAAGTATGGATTTGTGTATTTTTTTAATCTACTCATTCATTCCACCCTCCATCCAAGTACAGTACTTACTTTTTCAAAATTCAAAGGCAACTAAATATTCTTTAAAATACTAAGAATAACTGCCTGTCATCAAGTATAGTATGGATATCAAAACTGCTACATTTTTTAATGTTCAAATCTATTTATTCTACAAAATGAAGATTCTATAATTGTGCTTTTGAACTGAAATACGGATAGAAAGAGATTCAACTCAAATGTCTATGCACCAATAACAAATTATTTCGCTAGCAGTAATGTGCAGTTGTAGGAAGTGTAAGCTGTAGATAAGTATACATTACAAGAGGTGTGGAGGGACTGTAAAAATGTAAAAGTTAGAAGTGTGTTTACTTGGGTTATGAAATCCACCAGTCTCCCTGTCCTTAACTGCTTACTAAGTATTCATGAGTTCATTCCTTTGCTTTTACCAGGAGCTTGGAAACAATCTTTGAAGAGCCCAAGGAGAAAAATGGACGCTTGATCTCTGTCAGCCAGCAGAAGAGAAAGCGGATCCTAGAGTTTCAGGACTTTACTCTTCCCCGGAAAAGGAAGACACGAGGCAAAATCAAAGCAGTGGGTAGTTTCACCCGAGCAAAAAAAGCTGCACTACAAAGTGCAGAGTTAGATGCTCTTCTGAGTCAGAAGCTAATGGACCTTGAAGCCTTTTTTGCAAAGGAGGCTGAGCAGGAGCAGACCTCTAGCATCTGAGGGAGCCATTTAGCTGAAAATGGTCCAATCAGCTCCTTTAGTATTTTAGTCCTGTTGGGAGAAATCTACTGACTTCTTCATACATTACTCTACCACTCTGTTCTAAAATCTGGTGATCAGTTTTTGGCTGTGGCCCTCTTTAAGGTGCTATTTTATTTTATTTTAAAATGCTATTTGAGGGATTCTTTTAGGCCACATACAATTTACCATTCCATCCCCAACCTCTGGAAATTACTGCTAATGTTTAATTATGTTTAAACACCTTTTGGGGGTAGAGTAGTAGTGTAAAGGAGGAAGTAGTGCACCTTCAGTGATGCTAGAACTCTGTACTCCAGATCATTTGCACATTTGAGTCTGCTGTTGTTACTGTAATGGCTATTTTGAAGAACCTGACAGAAGAGATACGGTGTTTGATAAAGATGAATTCTAGCAAACACATTCTTGATATACCACTAACTTTTTAATGATTAAAAGTAGCTGTCTGGTTTGCTTTCAGTTGTTTCTTCCTTCTGTTTACTTAGAAGGTTCCTTCTGAGTTTCTGTGCCCTTCCTGGCTTCAGGCAGCAGAAGCCTCACATAACTAGACTTTAAATAACTTGCACTTTGTATATGTTTCTTTATTTGCTGCGTGAGGACATCTTTTAACATGATTGAGCTCAAAAAAGGTAATATTTTAAGAAAAAATTGTGCTCAGTACTAATTTTTCCTAAATAGTAGAGTTTTTAACTACTTGGCTGATGCCAACCTCTTCTCCAGAGGAAAAGGTAATTAGCCCATGAGGATATTAAGCTGCAGGATACATTAAGTAGAGGTTTTTAGTTAACTGAGCTGAGCTGCTGTATGCAGGGAACACCAGCAAAATCTTTGAGATTAATTTTTAAGTTATTTTAATTCCAGTAAAAATATCAACTTAATTTTAATGCCACCAAGAAAATGATTTTTTTTCCATCTTGAGGTTTTATTTACCATTTTAGATTTACAATTCATGTAGCTCGTAATTAGATACTCTCTGTACAGCACTGTTGTACATAGTAGCTAGTGTTGTACAAAGAGCCTCCTAGCATGTGGAATTTTTTCTTTTTTTTTCTCCCATTATGTAAGGCCATTTGTAATTATCTGATGCAGCACTGGGCAATTTCTCAACTCTACCTTTTGAGGGAGGAGAGCTCCCTTCTGGGATAACTTCTGTTAAACTTACTTGAAGCATAATTCAAAATGAATGCTAGCTGCTGTTCAGGTAATTTCTGTCCTTTAGTGCCTATAGAAGTTATTCAGGCAAAGCTGTCATTGCTGGGATGCTCAAATTTAATTAGTCTGTTCTTTCTTTCACTTGTCACTTGAAACTTGCACTTTCTTATTTACCTGCCCATATAATAGTTTCTATTTACCTTCAAAATGAGCAAATATCTAGTGCATGGGTATTTTTAATAAAGTCCAAATAAATGCAGGACTGAAAATACCACCATTATCTTCTGTTGCTCTGCCACTTCTGTTACTGACGGAACAGAAAACTAAAAATTAACAAGCAATCTGTTGAATTCCAGAGCTTTCAAAGTAGAGAAATGGAAGAGGATTATTACACTGTGTGTGCCTAAGTCTTGACAGAAATGTAATCTGGGCTTGTTTTGCTCCCAGTTTATGTGCTGCGATTCATAGAAGTTTACATTCTTGTTTTGGAGGCTAATTATCTTTAATCAGGAAGACTGAAGAAAAGAGAGGAGTGCACACTTAAAGTAGTGGTGTTTGGGTTTTGAGGGTAAAATAACAAGGCAGGCAAACTTTGAACGTATTGACATACTATTTCAGCAGCAAGGTCTGGTTAACCTATTTGGGCTGCTAAAGAACATTGTAACTGATCCTCTTTATTTTTATAAAAAGAAATCCCTAAAAAATAAAGGTCGTCTGCCTTTTAAAAAATGTTTGAAACTTTCCCTATACTGGTTTATTAGCCCAGTTATTGACTGGTTGGAAGCTGTAGCAAGAGTGAGATATATATTTTTACGGCTTTATGCTATACAATGAGATTGTTACACAGCATTCATTCGCCATCTATTAATATGGGAGGCTTCTAGTGCTGTGACACAATTGAGTTGTAGCCTTACTGGGGCTTTTAAGGAAACAAGGATATGGGTGGGGAGGGAGGAAACTTGGGTCCAGGCAAAGTTCAGACCTCTAATGTGCTTCAAAACATGGAATATGTTGGGTTTTTCCTTTGGGTTGTGGGTGGCTTTTTTTGTTTTGGGGGTTTTTTTTGTCTGCTTCCCTGCTCTGTCCTGTTTCTGATTGCTTTGAAATAACATTTCTGAGCTTTCTTTTTAACAGCTACAGCAGAGAGAGCAGAGCAAAGAAAACACTCTGTTCTCTCTTGTTTATAATAATTGAAGAGTTACAAAATGATGTTGCAGTTGCCTGCTTGTCCCAGACCTTAGTTTGTGGAAACCCAAATATACAGCATTATTCTGTTTTGATTTAGCATTTGTATGATGATAGAGATGTAAGCTAATTGACATAAAGGATCTCTTCCCTCCCTCCAGCATACTGATGTCAGTCATGCTTGTGCACTTTTTCTTTTTCCCACCTCTGTTCCTGTTTGCAGCACTTGTGGAACAGCCTTGTTCCTTGTGGCTGCTACTTGTACACTGGGAGTGATGACTGCAAAAGCTAAGTATTTGCCACTCTGAGCTGCTTCTGTCCTAGATAATTGAAAGAAAAAAGTATAGAGGATACATCTTTTGGGGTCTTGCATACTTCCCTAGCTGAAGGATATGTACACTTGCCTTTTCATAAAGTGAACCCACTCCAGTGAGGATTTTTTTTTTTTTTATCATCATGGAAAGACATTGTACATATTGCTCACAAAATGATCACTAGAGCAGCTTGAAAAGAATTGCAAAGCTTTTGCCATGTACTCTCTTAGTAGTAAGTTTTGCAGAGCCAGGCAGCTCTTTGCTATATTTGCTGATTATGGGAGGCAGAAAGATCACTTTCCAAAAAAAAAAAAAAAGGTCTTATTTTCATCATGCTATGACTGGAGCAGCTAAGGCTACTTAAATGTATGTTACAGCATTTGCCTGGCTTGGCTGGCCTTGTGGCTGCATACGTTTAAGTTCTGATGCTTGCTGGATATGATTTTCTGCAAGCAGTTCTCATTTATTGTATTTGATTTGAGGTGGGCCTTTGGTGTATTATGTTCCAGGTGCTCTTCTAGAATATGGATGATAACTGTGGATTAAAAGTCTATATGATGCTATCAAGTTAACAAATAGCTCAATGAGAATTTGTACACTTGTGCCATTAGCCTCCATCATGCTCTTGGCATTTTGTTTCTGTTCAATATTGCGTGAATCTAAAATTTTAATGTTTCTTTTGTGTGTGTTTTTAATTTATGGAAATAAATTTTTCTGACAACATTTCAGTTTTTTTAAGGCCTTCTTTAGGCTTGTATCGGTAAATAGGCATGATATATCTGTCTTGCATACATGGGGGGAAGAGGTCAAATCTCCAAAGAGATTAACACAATTAAGTAACTGGGTGGGCTGTTGGTGAGGCATGGAGCAGCAATCCTAGTTTTCATTCATTGGTAGCCGTACTTTAGCAGGAACAGAAACAGACCTGGGGGATTTTAAGCATGATCCTAGCTACTATTCATAGCGTTGAGGCAGCATCCTTCTCTTAAAGTAGAAGAGTAGCAGGAGCCAGACAGCACAGGCAGTTCCTGCTAGGTTCAGAACTGGGAGATTCAAAGCTGAAGCAGGCCAGTGGTTCACGTACTACAGTCTGTGCAAGGCATCAGACTGGTGCTTTTAAACCAAAGCTGAAGCATAGGAACATCAAAAAGGCCTATTAAGCATCTGTAATGTCTATGCCAGAAAACAACTCCCTCCCCCTGCCCCCATAAAATCTTGTGCATAACCCAGATTTTCAATTTATTGCTATTCAGCTGCGTGCTGCTTTTGGCAAAACTAAGCTGGCAGATGCATTTCTTCACTCTGTTCTCATAACTCCCTTCTCTGATTGAAGTGCAGTGTTATGTGGGTCCTGCAGGTGGCATGTAAACTCCAGTAAAGAAAGCAAGGGAGCACCTCAGAGAACAAGCATCCTGCTGTTCCCCGGCCTCTTCAGGGCTATAGCTTGCTGGCTGCAACACAGTATATGAGGATTTTGCTCTGTTACCATACTGGGATTGCTTCATTCACCGTTTACCTCTCCCCTTTTTCTCTGAAAAGTAGATGAGTTTGGCCTTGCATCCTCTCTCTGTTGTTTGATTAGTCAATGTCAAACAATAGGACAAATGAAAAAGAGAATAGTCTCAGCTAAGATGCACTGAATCTAAAACCCTTGCTGCTGGTCAGAGTGCAAATTTTTTCTTTCTCAGGAAGTGAAAAGGGGGAGGAGAGGGGCGACTGTAAGTCAAAGAACAGGAAAGACAAGCTAGGCATGGAACAAACTCTTTAAAACCAGGTATTCTTAGCAGTGTATTTTACAACTGAGTACTTTACTCCTGCCTCACTTTGTTGATTTTGGTGGAGAGGTTTGGGGTTTTTTTGTTTTTTCCTTTATATGGCAGACACATTGACTTTATCTCTATTGCAGCTGGCCTGTCTTCACTATTTGCATCTAATTTATTGCTAGCTGAGGTTAATACAACTGCAACATATGTAGCAAGGACTGGAAGGTTTTGGGTGAAGGATTTTTTTTTTTTTAATTAAACATTTTAACCTTGCGTGGTTCAGGGTGCATGGGAGCAGAAGGTGATAACACTCTTGCAAACTGAAATGAGCCCTGCCCATGAAGAGCCATCCACTCTAAATCTTTATCCACTAACAGGCAAAATGAATACATGATACATTCTGTTCGTATCATGTTCGAAAAGACTTCGTATCATGTTCAGGCAGTTTCTGCTTGTAAAACCAATGCTGTTTAATTGATAAATCACATTTTGACATTTCATAGATTCAAAGTGTCAAAGTACTATAAACTAATAGTTGGAATTTTTGACAAGGATGAATATCCATTGCTTTCCTTCACCTTCAGGCTGCAAGCATCCTTTAATACATTAATTTGTGAGAGAAAAATGGTTTGATTTACTAGTGTAAATCCTTGGTTAAAAAACCAAATACATTCTCCCCAGTTAAAAGCAGAAAAGATTACTGATTCTGATAGCAATTACATATATAATTACATACACACTATAGTATGTGTGTGTATTCAGCTAGGACTATCTAGCCACAACCAAAATCTCAAATATAGGAGGACAATGCTGCAACTACCAACATGGCAGTTGATTGGTTTTGCATGGAAACAGGCTTTAAAAAACAAGCAAGGCAAACTGCTAACCTGTGCCACTCATGACAGTCCGTATTTTAGTCCATGGTATCGGCCCTGCTATTTCCACAAAAACGCTGATTTCTCCATAGTAGTTGTTCAGAATTGCTGATCCTAGTTCTGTGCTGTGGGTTATGCAGATTGGCCTGTGCTGTTCCACATGATCCCATGCTCCGAACAAGAAAGGGGTGACATATGAGTGGTATTACATTATCATAAACATAAAACCTGCTTAAAAAAAAAAACAACCAAGACAGTATTCAGCATGCATTTCTAGAGATTACTGTTTCCTTGCTGATTGCTTTGGATAGGTTGGACTTGCATATTTCCATGTTTTCAGCATTGATGGTGGTGTATGAGCCTTGCAAAGCCTCAGTATTAGCTGTCAGTTCAATGAGGATGCACAGATATCCTGTTTGCAGAAGTCTAAGATGTCTACAAACCAATAAGAAAGTATACATTCAAAGATGCTATCAGCTTTAAAAATAACAAATTCTTCAGATATTATTCACTAAAACAGCAGAATAGAGCTAAAAATTCCCCTTTTGAATTTCAGTTCTTTAACAACTTAGACTCACAGAAGTCTAACTTACTGTGTAATCTTCATTTACTTCAACACAGATTTTCAGATCCCAAAACAGCTTGACCCTGGCTCATAGACAGTTTCGGTTTTTGTGATAGCTAAATGCATACTTCATACAGCTTTCAGCGGAAAATAATGAAAAAGCCATCCCTTAAGTTTATAAAGGTTTTGATCTTGAGTTCTCTAGTGCACTCTTTCTAAAAAGGAAATTATTTAACTTATTTCTAGGTTAATTCAAGAATTAAATACAAAATTTCTTATCTTTTTCCCAAGTTTGGTATATCCAAATGAATATTATATGCCCTTTTCCCAGAACTGATCTTTGGAATTGAAGGGAAAAATTTCAGAGTGGGAGTAAAACAGTCCTACTTCAATAACCTCGTATTCGCCCTAAAATTATTGGTCGTTCTGTTCCTGCAGAGCTCCAGTTTCAGTGCTTTTGGACAGCAGTTGTAAGAGGCTCTAAAGGAGCTCCAAACACAACACTCCTTGGAAAACTGTTACCAACGGGATTATGCAGAACATACATCTCTATTCAGTCTAAATAAAAGGGCAATAGCTATGCACAGAAGGCTTCCTGCTTTGCATTTTTCTTTAACTCAGAATTCAGAACTTAACTTTACCTGCAGGTGTACAATTTAACACTGATTCTGCTAGTTGAAAGAAAGACACTCCAAGAATTTCCTGATAGCTCATGTGACTTGCATGAACAAGGTACTGAGTAGTGTCTTTGAAAAGCAGATCACTTTCACCATACTTCCACGACTGAAAGAGATGGAATTCAGAATCCAGTTTGCTTCCCAGAGATTCCTAAACAGAAAAGAAATAAGTTCCACAGCTTGGATCATAAATAGCAAAGTTAAGCTGGTGACCCTCAGTTTTATAGCAAGATCTAGCAGAAAAAAGGTTCCACTTTCACCTAGCACTGTCCTTACTCATACAAAAAGATGCAGTTTTGCAGTGCTTATTTCTCAGCAAAAGTATGACCACGGCGGAATGGCAACTGGTGTCAAAATGCCTCTATAGAATCCAAATAATTATTTTCTCAATCTCCTACGCACATTCTTAATTCTTTCATATTGGACCTAAAGGCACTTTATGTATTTAGTATATAAAGCTTTTGATCTTGAAACGGTTTTCAGCAGTCATACATAACAAGTGATAACATGCAAACTTTTTCCCTGTTATCTGCCTTACCTGGGATTTCATTAGAAAGTCATAGATTTTAGTGACAGTCACCGGTCGAGTCATGACTGCGCTGGGGGGAATGGGGCCAAGGTTACAGCCTGCCCATTCTGTGACTGCAGCACGCGTTCCATCCGGACACAAGAGTTCAAAGTCCATAGGGGTATAACCTTTTACCCAACCAGAGCTGTCCAGATCTGAAAAGAAGATGAAGTGAGAGCAAATCCTTTTAAAAAATGAAAGCAGAAGACAGGGTGAATCTCATGCAAAATGTTAAAAATCGAGAGGAAGAAGTTTAGTCAATATGTTCAAAACAAATGCAGCATGCTATGTGGTCATTTATTAGGAACAGGGTAGAGTTTTCACTGAGGAAACAGGTCAGTGAGCTTAAGCTGCATCTGTTGACTAAAAACTGGAGTAACATCAAGGCATACAAACAGCTTATCATGCCTCATCTTCATCTGTAATCAGATTGCTTTCTGAAAACAAAGCAATTCAGCCTCCACGTCCCTTCCTTCCCCAGACAAACCGCTCATTGCTGCATGAATTCCTGTGGGTTTCCAGGCCCTTATACCTCCACTTGATTTTAGAGAGATTCCTCTCTTAAAAAAGTCTTTTCTGTTACTGAAATTGCCTAAATTAGAATTTCAGTGTGCTTTATCAGGCTGAACAAAATGGGAGTTCCCTTTCTCTTCACCTCTATGAAAAGGCAGCATATTTTGGCTGTTAGAGCAGTAGGTATAATTTAAGAAATTGAGGGGATTTAAGCTACTGTAACCAAAACTATTTTCATCAACAAAATCCTATGCTGTTGCAAAGATCAGTATTTCCCAGAGGAATTTAAACATTTCACAGTGTAGTAACAATGTTGTTTTAGAAACTGTGAAAGGCAAAATAATTTGCAGTATTTTTACCTATTAAGCTATTTGGACTGTTTTTTCCATAAGGTGCCTGTGAAACAACATGAGGAAGTTGCTGTGTCACAATGAAGACATAGAACATCTCCCAGCACAAACAGCCCACAGCATTGCCCTTATCTGCCATTCTCAATTTTGCCATTACAAACAACGGGTACATGCACTATGGCTGCCTATGGGAGAAAGTCTGGTGGGAAAAGTCACTTGCTTTTTAAAGCTTTGAGCTTTCCAAAAATTAGTGCAGTCTCCAAGGATGATTACGCCCCCAACACACACCTTGATCTTTGCACTCAGTGATTCTTCCTCTTTCCTCTCTAAAACTGAACAATATCTGGACTTTGAGCTTTACTGGAACACCTACATGCAGAAAGGTTCTTGCAATTTTCCAGTCACAAACACAACTTCATGGACCTAGATTAAACCTGTAAAAGCTGATCCTCACGAGTGATAGTCACTGTGTGGGAAGTAACTGACGCTAATGAACATTCTCAAAGGAAAAGAGAATACTGCATCTCACTCTCTATGTTCTGGAGTAGGTTAAAGTGTTCCATGAAAGCTACATCTCCGAAGTTTCTTCCACTGGGATTGCCAACTAGGCACCTAGTGTGGGAAAAAAACCAAGAAGTTATCAGAGACAGCCACTACACGATGACTGATGTTTGGACAGCCATCTGAAGCTAAAACAGGAATAGCTGGAGGTATTTCCCTCATCTGTAATTACTTGGTGGTTATATGGAACAAGTTAGCGATGTCAGCATAGACCTTGGTGGACAGTGTTCACGTATTTGATAAGACAATCCCTTTCATCCTTTAAAGCAGCTCCCAAGTCAAAGTTGTGGCACAATGTCCATGCAGCCTCACCTTTGCCCAGCTGGGAAAGAGAATGTAATTCAACTAAATGCATTATATATATTCTATAAGAGTACTTTCATCTTTAATACTCTGCCTCTGCTTCAACTACGTTTTTTATAATATCTCCAGTCTATTTAATTACCTCCTGTACCCTACACTGCTTCTTACCTCATCACCTCTGCTCTCTGACCTTCTAACTATATTTCATCCCTTCTCTTTAATGAGTCAGTACCAATGCTCTAAGCCTTACATGTTTGGAAGCATTGTCTTGCTCTGGAAATGGTTTCATGACTGTTTTAAATCACCGATCAGCTGAAGGACCCATAGCAACTGCAACCAAAATAAAACACATGCTAGCAAAACTTTATACAACCAGTTACTTAACAAAAAAAATACTCCAAAGAAAACCATAAGCAAAGTAATAAGCCAATTCTGGTTATTGCTCTGCATTTCTGAGTCTGACAAAAGGCTTACCTGAGTGCTCCCATATTGCCATAGTAACGTTCATTGTGACTTGCAGCACATCTGCTAGATACTCGAGCCCCTTCCACCTCACTGTCTCCAATGCACACCTTGCACAGGTTTCCATCTGCTCCTGGCATGCAGCCCTTCCAAAAGTAATTCTGATAAACTGAGTAGAGAAAACTGAGATGAGATTAGGGCAAGGTATTCCAAAGCCTCTTCTGCATGGGAAAAGACAGGAATGGAATTCAATCCTAACAGCTAGCAAGAAGAGGGCTAAATAGTGTGAAGAATCACACATAGTCAGATAGGAGGAAGAGCTACTTCAACATCCTCTGAGACTGCAATCGTCACTTGCTGGTCAAATCCTCATGGCCCCATCTCCATTTTACTCCCAAATTTGGGACTTCAGATTTCCATGGTCTAGTCAACAGATAACCCAGAGCAGCCCTTACCAGAGCCAATGTCACAGTTCTCAGTATCATTCTCCAGAGCTCCCACTGTATATCTGGAAAGCAGTAACCATCCTCCAGGACTATACAGGTGACTGTGGCAGGATCGCCTTCCCCTAAGGTTACGGATGTTAATCTGTTTGGCATTTTTCTTAGCTAGGGCAACAGCATAAACTGGTGGCAGTGCTGTAAAACAATGACAACAAACAGTTATACTAAGGCAATTAAGTATTCCAGACAGGTACAGCCCCCCTCTTCCCTCCCTCATCCTGTCACGATATCTTCAGTTACAGTAGAGGATCTGCATTTTTTGCTTAGCCACAAAGCTCTTGTCCTAGCTGCCCGGCATTAACTGTAAAGCTCCTACTGAACATGCACAGCGATTTCTTTCCCAAACCAACGTGCAGATACATTCCTACATAAATCCTAGAGGCAGCCTCAGGAAAATCTAAACCTTTTGCCTTCTCAAAGTTGTCCTGTTACCTTTGCGCTTAAGATGAATTAGTTTTCCTGTTTCCTCCGTGCTCTCAGCAGCCGGTGCACAATCTTCCCCTGGAGAGGAGAGACAACCAGTAAGGATCTTGTGACTGCTGTCATTCCTATTACATGGCAGCACCCCATCAAAAACCTTGCAATTCTCTTTAGCCACATCAGCATCTCTGTCTCTTTTACAGAAGAGATATAATAAACAGCCAGACCAAATGCTAGAGCCAATTAGTGGAAGAGCTGGGAAGAGTATTTAGACATATATATTGATTCCTGCTTCCATCACAAAACATCACAAACTGTGGAAATTTAACTATATTTTTAATGGTACTTTTTTGACTCCCTCCCTTATGCTAAGGTCACATGAGAACTTACCATAACATTCTGCAGCTACAGGCACCAGTCCACACCTCCCCGCAATGTAGACATGTGTTGCGTCCAGGGTGACTGCATCAGCCTCACTACTCTGCCAACAGCATAGAAAATAAGAAAAATGTGAATTGTGTAACCAAGCAGCTGTACTTCCCCGCTGGTTGGAAATTCCCCTGCATAAATTCCCTCTCATTCCCACTGGTTCCTCTAGTGTACAAGCTTTTTTTGCTCTTGGTCAGACAAGGACAAGGACATACACACCCTGTGCGGTCTTATCATATACTCTGACCAGAGGGAGTCTCTTACCTTGATCATTTCAATGCATTTGGTCATGGAAGTTGCTTGGACACAGACTAATGGGTCAGATTTGATGCTCAGTGCCCACTCCTCACATTTGCGAAGCTCAGCATCACTGATGCAGCACCAGCGCACAACACTGTTGTCCAAAGAGCTCCCTGCATTAGAAGGAAGGAGCACAGTGAGATCATTTCGCCCATGCACCAATCTGTTCTTTGTTAAGGGGACGTTTAGGTCTATGCATTTGTGCCTGGCAGGGAGGAATAACATGGGAAGAGAACTTTTTCTTCCCTTTCCTTAGCTACAGTCGTCTGGAAGGCTTCTCACCTTCATGGCCTAGTCCCTTAAGAAGAGCTACATAATCCAGACCAAGGACATAGGCAATTTCTAGCTGTTCCTCGAGAAGTTGCAGGTGCTGAGTGGCATCCCGGAACAGCAGGTTCTTTCCGCCAAAGGGTGCTGAAGTGAAGAGTTCAAACCTGGCTCTTTCCTTTCCTTTTTGCCCAAAGAGGCGCTAGGACAAGAACAACACTTTTAATTGCAACAAATCTGCTCATCCTTCCAGTAACAGGCAGCCTTATCCTCCCCTCCCTTCATATCAATGGTTTGTAACACAGCACTCTGGGTTCCATCACACTGGGACAAAGTCCTCAGGTACTGCAGTGAGTGGATGGTTCCAGTCCTAAAAGCATTATATGATTTACTTTTTTGAAGAATTTTTTCCCACCTTAGTTATTCCAATTTATTGGGCTGTGCTCAAAGTCTCCTACCCTAGAAAGGCAACTGAGGGAGTATAGCTGAGTGAGAAACATTTGTGATAAAGATCAGTGCAGTAAAGGAGTGCAAGATATCTTGTGATTTATGATGGGGAGTTACCACGTGCAAAGTAGCTCTGTTCATCCTGATGGTACTGGAAGAGAAGAAACCACTGAGAAGTGTACTAGGAACACTGCTGCTTAGCCATTGCTATGTATCAGGGAACACAGCTAAGATATGTGTTAATAAGTGCACTGACAAAGGCATATGAAGATCTCTCAATAAAGAAGAGATTTTGTACAACTGCTATCTACCAGAGTCTACGTGACAGTACAACCCAGCCCACTGGATTGAATTATTCGCTGTCTGCTGGACTATTTTAAGGGCCAGATAGCTTAATAAATTCTTTAAATTTGCATTTAAATATGCATTTCAGGTTCAGCTTTAAATAGATTCCTGGATGTCAAGGTAACAGATACTACTTATAAGTTGAGAAAAAGAGAGGAACAAAGGTGAGCCCTCCCTGAACCTACGCGTCTCCCTCAGCTACATAAGAATTCATCTAAGTTCCAGGGCAGGATGAACATCATTAGCCATTTTCCAGTTTGGGTGTTATGGCATCTTCCCCTTCTTTACTTATTTATTCCCAGCCTTCTACAGAAGAACACTTTAGAGAGAAGTAAAACCTTCTTCCAGAAGCCAATGCAGGATCCTTCCCCAGAACAACCAATTTTTAGTGCTTTGTTCACACTAATTACAAATTTCTCAAGAAAGAAGGCAAACTGAGTGGTAACCTACACACAAAAATGGAAGAAAAGCCTGCATCTGGAGACATACAGCTTATAATATCCACTCACTTGGATCAAGGTAAGAAATTTGTTGGTGATTTTCTGGAAGTTATGGCGGGTGATGATGCCACGGCCAGGCCCCTTGCCTAAGTTACAGGTGCTGTATTCAGTCAGCTCAGCTGTAGTCCCATCAGGACACAAGAGTTCATATTGCTGTTGTTCTGACTCTGAAACAACAGGACAGTCATGAATCTATGAAGTGAGACACGACTTGGCAGCAGGCACAGAGATGGAAGGTAAAATGTTTTTCAGAGGAGGTTGCTCAAAGATTATGCAAGCAGTACAGTGTACCAAGCATACTCAGGAAAGCTATTTTTGATATGCTCTTCTCTTAACAAAGAGAGGGACCTCAGCCAGAGGTACTCTGAAATACTCTTTAAACTGTACCCCTGTAAATATGTTTGTTTAAAAATACTTACCTGCAAATGCTACTGCTAGCCATCTTCAAAAACATCGATACAGAGCTCGACTGAGTTTAAAAATACAAAACAGGTATACAGGAACTGCACATTTTAGCAGCTCGATACACTGAATTTTAAAAGGAATCTTATAACTCGGGCAATGCAAATACTGACAGCTGCATCAGAGACTTTAAGCTAAAGAAATCACCTGTATAAAACCATCTGTCTGCTCCCACTCTAAGAATCTCCTGTGAGCAATTATTGCTCACTTACTCTTTCCTTTTCTGTTTCCTCTGACTTGTGTGGAGAGCCAAGAAACACCACTAAACTGCTTGCAGAGATTGAATTTTCCCTGGAAACAATAAAAATACAGGGATATCCCCCAAACTCCCATGCAGGAAAGAGCACAACCAGAGGTTAAAAGGAATCTGAGTTTTTAGAGTTACCTGTGGCACTCATAATAGTTAGATGATCTAAAAAGGCAACATCTGCCACTCCATTCTTCAAGCACCTGCAGGAAGACAAACGCCATCCTATTAACATGTCACCTGGCTTTTCCTCCTTCACAAGTTCTTTTTCCCTGAAGGGAAATTCAGCACAAGTGTCACAGAACTCACCTGAAAGCTCCCTCAGAGTCATAGAAGGGTTCGTTACTGCTTGTCTCACAGAAGTGGTTCTTGTCTCTGACATAGGATTTTTGTCCTTGGCAGAGAGCACACAGTCGAGGAGCAGCAACACCAACCCCAGGGATGCAACTTGCATTGAAATACTCACTGATTACTGCCGGTGGGGGTGGGGGAACAAAAAGAAAGAAAAGAAGTCAAATGGGAAAAAGTGGAAGAAAGGGGCCAAATGTATCATGGGCATAACTAGGACTATGGTGCTTTAAAAATAAATAAATAAATCAGTAAATGCAGCTTCATTGTCTAAACTTCAGATTTGAAACATTTGCTGGAAACAGAGTGGTCAAATTTTACTTCGTTGAAACCACCCTTGCGCTGGCTAGATATTGCAAAGATTTGTTCCCCGTTGCATACAGAACACAAAGATTTCCTGTTTTGGTAACAATCCTGCTGCTTTGAGATCACTAGAAAAGTTCTGAAGAGAGCTAAGGGCCAGTATCAAAAACACTCCAAGAGGATATCTCATCCACAAAGCCCTTCAGCTTCCACATAGCTCAGTTCATTCTACATCTGCTAGCATTTCACTCACTTTTGCTGAGGGCAGAGACATAGCCCTATGGCTCCTATCACCCACCTTGGCTCAGAGGTTGCGCCTCATCCCAGGAAAGATCATTTCTTGCAAGGAGAAAGCCAAGTGGAATATTCCAGCCTGATGTCCATCTGGCTCCACTGTGGCAGCTGCGCGCACCTCGTAGCCTCTGGATATCCAGAGTTCCTCGTTTGGCAATGGCCACGGCAAACACACAATTTCCTGCAATAGGACAAAATACGTAACAGAAATATCTAAATCCCAATTCTGCAGCTTCCATCTGTGTACAGGAGTTCAACTACCTCTGTGAACATGGCTAAGGAAAAAAAATTTTAGGCATGTAAAACATAGGTACTCATGCCAGGAACTTTACCATATACTGGCTACACAGCACCTTGTCAAACTGTGATGTGCAAAGCAAGAATGTAAAAATCCGGTGGAAAAGGCTTAGAAGATCATCCAGCTCCATCATCCAATGCAATCACTTCTCAAGAGTTTTGAACATTTGTATCACACTGTTCAGGTATCGTAATGGAAAGAACTCTTATGTCTTATCCTCAGAACATACTTACCATGTGAAACATATGAATTCCACTATGATTTCATGGTTCTTCAGCCAAAACAAAATTCAATTCTGTTCTCATACCGTCCCCTTATTAGTCTCTTCCCACATCCATCTGCTAATTTGGCTTCCTTTTCAGATTCATGTTCCACAAGTGTTTTCTACTGTATGCTTGATTTTGGCTCAGACTTACTTATTCTTGCCTTATAAATCATTCATTGCACAGACTGTTCAGGTCTGCCAGGAATGAAGAGGAATCTTACCATAACAAGATTCTCCACCTTATATTCTTGTTTCTTTAGGGTGAGAAGGAGAGAACTAATTCATAAGAGAAGCTAATCTCTTAAAGAACCACTAGTAAATGTTCAGTTACACTAGTAAAGAGCATGGTATAAGGATTGACACAGATGGAATAAAACCCTTCTTATTCCCTACAAGACGTAGAACTCCAGTACACTAGTGCTGTGTGCAGGGGTAGATACAGACGATTTGTCATAGCGACAGTACCACAGGCAGAAAGGCTGCTAGATATAAAGGACCACCGGTATTTTATTCATCATCACTAAGTTTTAGAAACAGTTATTAGTCACCTCCATACTGCTATAATGTTAATAAAAACATATAGACTTTTTTTCAAGAATTCTTGAGCTTTGCCTTTCACTGCACAGCAATTTATTAGCCAAATCAGAAGTACAGTTTTTGCTTTATGAACCTACCTTGATCATAGATCTCCTTTGCCACCACTGTCAAACCATACAGCTTTACTGCAGAGTAAACATCTCCAGCATCCAAGGAGGCAGCATCTGCTTTATTCACCTTAAAAACAACAGCAAATCCCTCAAAACAAGTGTGTTTACAGGGAAACAAATAGAGCAGCTTCAAGAGAAGAGTTTCTGCATGAGAAGTAGTAACCAGTGATTTTTACAAGCATTTGCTTTGTTTTTAATTGAATCCCTGCTACTAAGCATGGTGAAATGTTAGCAATGAAGGCTGAGTTACCTTCAAAAAATACCAGTTCTTTTCCAGTAACATCCTTTCTCACCTCTTCTTTGGGCCTTCCATTCCAAAAACACAATTCTGATGCCAGCTGAAGAAAAAGGCAACCCCTATTTCCTCCTACTGCTCCCCCAAGACCCCAAATCCTTCTCAGAGTTCTCCTGGCTATAACCTTTCTATAACCCAGAAAGTGGAACTTAAGTCTATTAACAAGGGTTGGAGGACTGAATGAAAACATGAAATAAAGTATTCCCTGAACCAACAAGAAAGAGAAAATATTCACTATAGTCAGACTAGGACCAAAACCCACAAGCAAGGGGAATGCTCTGAGCAAGTTTTAATTTAGTAGTTTGGTTTTGTCCATTTATTTCCAAGCAGCTTTTTACTTATTTTCTGGAGATTGCAAGGACATTAGCTGGAGTAAAATAGTACATCTAGTAGAACACTCATGGGTTTTAATCCTTGCCTCTCAAGCTACCGTGTACTTTGTCATATATGCAATACCATCATTTCAGTGTCATTTTATTCTCCCATGGATTCTGTTTACCAGTTACTTCTTCAAAAGAGGATTTGGACTCAAAATCAGTTTTAAAAATCTCTGTGAACTCACCCTGATTTTATCAATGCAGTCATATGTATTGTGGGCTCTGATGCAAGAAATCCTAGCAAACGAATTGACAGTAGCAAGGGGCAGCACAGCCATAAGTGCTTTGGACAGTTCAGCACACTTTCTCTGTTCTAGGTCAGAAAGGGTGCACCATCGGAATTTCTTCCCTGTAGGATCAAAAGAGAAGTCAAGATTTGTAGGATTTAGTGAAAAGAAACCTCAGTTTAAGACCTTACGGAAGAGGGAGGCTATTTTATTTTATTTAACTTCACGAATAAGTTGATTCTGCTCACTCACACTCACATATCCCCATACTTACAGGCACCCAAGAGATATGCCCAAGCAGTCTGACCAAGACCACTTTTGCCCAACATGGAGGACAATGTATGTTTGTTGTTGAGTCTTTACCACATCTCTTTGCTTCCTCTTGACTGGCAGCCACAAACTAGTTTTTAGGTAGATTTTTCAAGAATCAACAATTATTATGGCATGATCTGTTGCCTCGGAATCTTCCTTGCTTCATCCTCCATGAATCTTAGGCAAGGTTGCCACCCAAAATGAGGAAACAAAGGCAAGGACATCTTTATGGCTATGGTCAGTTTTCCTGTTGGGATAGCAATAAAAGGAATAGCACTTACAATGTAGGGTAACCTTGTCACCATCTTCCTGTTATCAGACTGCAGTTTTTCTCCTAACAAGCCAACTGTGATGTGACCTTATCAGAGCACAGACCTTCTTGATGTAAACAATGCATTCACCAGGGTTTAACAGTTTTATTGCTGTCAATTGTGTCCTTGGTTATCAATACAGGCCATTCTTTTAACCTTTGGCCTGCTGTTTCCTCTAGTGCTTTCATACATGCATATTCCCATGCATAATTTATCCATACCAATATTAATATTTCTGTTACAAAGTTCTAGAGAGTCAGAACTAAGCCTGCAAAAGAACAAGAAGGATCAAGGGAGGATGTTGGTAGGGGATCAAGTTGCTTTAGCTTTGTTGAATTTAGTCTTTAGAGAGGGGATTGTTGTTTTTTAAATAGACAGTAACTGGTGTTCCAAGTCCCAGCTGTCTCATAGCACTGAGCTACATGCTTTGTTAGAATAGCATTTCCCACTGAGCGCCATGCTTTGTTAGAACAGTATTTCCTCCCCATTTTCTTTCCAGTCAAGGACTACCTGATTTTAAATAATAAGACCCAGATCAGAGCTCCAGGGTCAGAAAACGTTAGATCGGAGAAGTACGAAAATTTTAAGTTGGAAGAAGTTCACAATTAAATGCCACCTTATTTTTTTTTGAGAAAAACAAATCCCTTAACCCAGAAAGTGAGGATCTGGGACTATTTGAAATTACGATGGCAATTCTGTGACTTGAACCTTCTTCTGTTTTTAAACAATTTACTATCTAAGTGTTGCCTCAGCAATGACAAGTAACTTGGTGCTCTTCCCCCAAGATAGAGGTTTATCTTCCATGACAACACCCACCATGAAAGACAGAGACTAGGGACAATTTGGTTATTGACAATGAAGAATCATGTACTATGTTGAACAGAGTATTGAATAAGCATTAACAACAAAATCCTTACAATCCTACCTCTTCCAAGCAGTAAGAATTATCTTCATTTCTGGATGCCAAACAAAGAGATTAAACAACCTGCACAGGAACACTCTACAAATTTGTAGCAGAACTGAACTATTCAGTTGTCAGATCTTTTTCCAGCTGAAAACTAAGTAACCAATAAAAGCCAAAACAAAACAGTGCCAGCAGAAAGAAGGAAGACGCAATTAGAAGTGGAGGAGAAGGTGAAGCCTCCTTTTCCAGGAGAAGTCTGGGATTTGGTTGGTTTAAACTGACTATGAAGCTACATCCCAAGTAGTCCAGACATGTCAACAAAATCTCCTCTTTTGCTTTAGGCTCCAATTATTCCACCTTGGATGTACTATGACTTATTTTGTATTCTTCCTGTTAAATGCCTTCTACTCTGAAACATATCATCATACACATCTCAAGAAGATCCTATGCATTTAAGAAGGAAAAAAGTGATCATTATATATAAAAATAGCATGGAGTTATGTAACTAGAGAGAATCTTATACCACATAATGAAAACCAGGACTGAATGCATAGAAAACACTACAACATCTCTAACATTGTCATTTCCAGATGTTTAAGCATTTGGCTCTCTGGCGAGCTATTAATATTAAAAAAAATATTGCCTGGAATAAATAATGTTTACAATTAAAACACTGAAGTTTTTATTTCTTTGAGCATAGCATCAGACATCAGTACTCCATTTGTTTTGATGTTAATTCAGTGCAATTCCAAAAAGAAGCCATTGTGGTTTTAGAGGGGAGCAGCTTGAAATACACTGATTCATTTTGACAGTGTTAATGAGTACGCAGATCTCAACTATTCAAAGGAAACAAACCTTCACTGAATTGCTAAGAAACTAGTGTATCAAGCTGCTTCAAAACTAACAGGATCACCATCTGCCAATGATCAAACAGGAAAAATACAGGCAAATGGAAATCACAGGCACAGTTCTAGCTGCAATTTCTTTGCACATAAGAAAACAAAACCAAAGCATATATTAGAGTTTGTATCCTGGTAACCCATCCAGAGTTCTCTGCATCAGCCTTACCTGAAGACAGCAAAGTGAAGATGATTAGGACAATTAAAATCACTGTCTTCATGATTACAGCAGTTCAGCAAGGATCCTCTCTCTATCCTGACGCTCTGCCTTCTCATACCGGGAATTCCACAGTGGTGACCAAAGCTTCTGGAAGATAACAAAGGGCTTTTAGGCATCAACAAGGATAAACCCAAGATTTAAGAAAAAAACCAAACGGTTAGAGGATGGTATGTCCTTATATGCAAAGGAGAAAGGGACAGTGTCCTATTCCAATCCACAAATGGAAAACATCCATGCATTTTCTTATCTGTTATGAACAGATATAGGAAGAAATGTAAGCCTCTGCTTTTGAAATAAATTGTGCTTCTCCTGTTTCAAAAGGCACCAATATGCCTTCAGGAGATAGGTAAGACATATCTATCTTACAAAAAAGGTATCTAAAGCTAAGTGAACTGTCCACACTACTGAACAGAATATTGAAGGGTCCTTCTTACCTTATTTTTTCACCTGATAATGGTTTATCTGTTGAGTAATTTTAAACGAAAAGTAATCCTATGCCTGCCTAAGAATTCAGAACAGAACTGTCACACTGTTGACTTTCTTGACTCTCTTCATTCCGTTCTATCACAGCAGTCTCATCAAAGCTGGCTTATTTCCCTGTTTTCTAACACTTAGCCTGGAGTATTTCCTCTTAATTACTCTACAGCAGCCATGATTAACATAATTCTACAGCAGAGGAAAAGAATACATATATATATATATAAAAGCAGAAGTGTGCATATTGAACTGATCTGATGATGCATAAAATACTGCTAACATGGTTTCATCTTTCCTCTTCAGGAAAGAATTGACTATTCCTAAAGTCTTGGAGAAAGAAAGTCTTTTTCCTAGTTTTGTTTTTGTTCTTCATCTTATGGATTTTGTTAGTACTTTCTCTGCTTCATGTATTTTTGCCAGTACTTTTCCCAGGTTTCATTTGTTGCCTTATGTACTCTTCCCTAGTGATTCACAGTCCTTATTCCCCACTTGCTTCATTTGCATTCACATACATAGATTCCATTGCTTAACTCTGTGTTTCATAAATTCCCGCACTAGATCTGAAACATTTGTTGAGGTGTTATGTCTCCTACCAATCCGATCACAGAAGGAGTTACATTTCTCACTACTTCCTGCACTTCCTGAACAAATGTTCTCAAGCCCTAAGATCTCAATTCTCTTATTTGCTAAGAGAACAACTGTGGTATTATCCCACCCTTTGACTTGGCTCACCTGCACAGGCCTAGCACAGCTCAGTACCCTTTGGGTAGTATGTTTTATTCCTCAGTGAGTGCAGTTTATATAATCTTTTGATACAATATAGTATCAGATATAAAAAAAAAAAAGTAAGAACAAAACACATGATAAAAGTAATTTTAAAATAGTTAAAGGTCCACATATTTACTTTTAATTCCAGGGAGAAAGATTAGATCAGGACAGATCATTCATCAGTTCAGTTAATGTCAGTTAATATACGCTATAAACAAGCGTGTTTCATTTAACTACACCTTAACCTCTGAATCACTCCTGAATCACTTCGGGGGAAACTTGTCAGTCAGGCCCACCAGCAGGGTGCAGTTAGACATCAAAGCTAATGGCTCTTGCAATGCTTGTAGCAAAGCACCTAACAGGATCAAATCCCATCTTCTTTGAGGTTTTACTTCCTGCTAATCCTACCATTATGTTAGCTCATGATATATGTACATCCCAACAACTCAGTCAGCTAATATTATTACTATTACATGAGGGCTGCATCTGGATCTCTGCTCAAATTTTACATATTTAAAAATAAAAGGCTCTCCTGTATATGTCTAAGATACTTGTACAGATACTATGCTGCTGTCTGTGGTGATGTGAAAAAAGCAGAATGACACAAAGATGTAGACTTCATTTAGGCCTAGTCAGGAAAACAAACAAACATTAATTACAAATGTAAAGTAATCGCGTCAACCGAAAGGACCATGTCCTAAAGCACTGAGGATGCAGAAACACAGCTGCAGGACTCTGGAATTCTTTTCCTACTGATTCACCCTATGAAACTACTCCCCTACCACCATCAGAAAATGGTAATTAGCTACTTCCCAGTAATGTAGCATCTATGCACCTATCTAGGGATGCATCTAAAATCATCTCTACAAAATCACCTCTGCGCTGCCAGGATCCAGGCAAGGGACATCAGAGTAGGAAGAGATGTTACTGCACTACCCTGCCCGACATCTCACTTGCAGGAACAGCATTGTGTCTGTCCCGTGTCATGTCCCATGCCAGGCCCCTGCCCTGACATCTCTGGTGCTCCCATATCTGTGGTGAAGGACTTACCTGCCCCTCAACAGCAACGCTGGGAAGCAGCTGAACCCCAGCTGCCTCATCCTCAACTCCCCAAGAAGCAGTCCTCTCCTCAAACCACACTTCCCTTTGAGGAACAGCTTTGTCCTGACACCATGCCCCCCTTGTGGAGCAGCCTTGCCCCCATACCACAAAACCTCAAGGGCATCCCTGTCCCCACATTACATCCCCCGGGAAACGGCCCTGTCCCCACATCATGTCCCCTCAGGGACGGCCCTGTCCCCACACCACACCCCACC